TTCAATTAAAATAAATTGATATCCAACTAGCCTCCGAGAATTTATGAATACAATGAGAATGAAGAGAGAAAAGTTTAAAATTGCAAAATCCCTAAGGAGATATCCCAGCCTTATCAGAAACCACTATCTCATTATGTGATTCCTGCATACTGTTTCTAAGAGTAGAGTCAAAGGAAGTAAAATTAGAAAACTTTCCATACTTCATTTTCATATTGAAATCATTTGTTGGAAAAAAGACAGTCTCTGTCCTTAAGGATCAATGCATATGAACTTAAAGTCATAAGTCACATATACCTGAATATGAACAAATTTGATTTTACTATAGAAGCTACTTTGCATGTTTTTTAAATAACAGTCAAAGTAGAACTAGGATTGTGTGTGTGAGTTTTTTTTTTTCCACTATATTGGCCTCAGTAAATGCAATGTTGAAGTAACACATGTTAGAATTCTCTTTTCTCTTGCCACTTGGTGGAAAGCTAAATGATTTACAAAGAAAAATAAAACTATATGTAAAATCCTAAATTCTTTCCTAAACAATGAATATCTCTCTGGCTATTTATTGGCATCATGCCTTCAGTGTTTATTTGTCCTTCATGATTTTGAATGTATTTAAGATGATTTCATTTTCAATTCAGCAAATAAGCAAATTGTTGTCCATCTCTCAAAAAAGGTAAAGGATCCATTTTACAATATTAAAGATTTATTTCCACCACTCATCTATAAGTTTGTTGTACTGCAGTGGCTTGTGTGGTGCTGAGATGCTGGAAGCTATGCCACTGATATTTCAAATACCATCAGGGTCACCCATGGTGGACAAGTTTTAGAGGAGCAGAGGTTTCAGACTAAGAGAGACTAGGAAGAAGCACCTGGCAATCTACTTCTGAAACAAATTGGCTAGTGAAAACCTTATGAATACCAGTTGATCATTGTCTATTACAGTGCTAGAAAATAAGCCCCTCACATTGGAAGGCACTCAAAATACAGCTGGGGAAGAGCTGCCTCCTCAAAGTAGAGTCAACCTTAATGACATGGATGGAGTAAAGCTTTTGGAACCTTCATACACTGATGTGACACGACTCAAAATGAGAAGAAACAGCTGCAAACATCCATTAATAATTGGAACATGGAATGTATGAAGTATGAATCTAGGAAAATGAAATGGAATGCATAAAGGTCAATATCCTAGGTATTAGTGAGCAGAAATGGACTGGTATTGGCCATTTTGAATTGGACAATCATATGGTCTATGATGCCAGGAGTGGCAAATTGAAGAGGAAGGATGACACATTCATCATCAAAAAGAACATTTCAAGATCTATCCTGAGGCACAATGCTGTCAGTGATAGGATAATACCCATACACCTACAAGGAAGACCAGTTAATATGACTATTATTCAAATTTGCGCACCAACCACAAAGACCAAAGATGAAGAAAGTGAAGATTTTTACCAACTTCTGTAGTGTGAAATTGATCAAACATGCTATCAAGATGCATTTATAATTACTGGTGATTGGAATGTGAAAGTTGGAAACAAAGAAGAAGGATCAGTAGTTGAAAAATATGGCCTTGGTGATAGAAAAAAACACCAGAGATCACATGATAGAATTTTGCAAGACCAACAACCTATTCATTGGAATACCTTTTTTCAAAAGATAAACAGCAACTATACATGTGGACCTCATCAGATGGAAAACATGGGAATTGAATTAACATCATCTGTGGAGAGACGATGGAGAAACTCAATATCATCAGTCAGAACAAGGCCAGGGGCTGAGTGCAGGACAGACCATCAGTTACTCCTATGAAAGTTCAAGTTGAAGCTGAAGAAAATTAAAACAAGTCCAAGAGAACCGAAGTACACCTTGAGTATATCCCACCTGAATTTAGAGACCATCTCAAGAACAGATTTAACCTATTAAAAACTAATGACCGAAGACCAGACGAGTTGTGGGATGACATCAAGGACATCATACATGAAGAAAGGAAAAGGTCATTAAAAAGAAAGGAAATTTAAAAAAGACCAAAATGGATGTGAGAAGACACTCTGAAGCTTGCTTTTGAACGTAGAGTAGCTAAAGCAAAAGAAAGACATGATGAAGTAAAAAAGCTGAATAGAAGATTTCAAAGGCAGGTTAAAGAAGACAAAGTGAAGTATTATAATGAAATGTGCTAAGACCTGAAGTTAGAAAACCAAAGGGGAAGAACACATTGGGCATTTCTCAAGCTGAAAAAAACTGAAGAAAAAGATTAAGCCTTGAGTTGCAATATTGAAGGATTCTATAGGCAAAATATTGAATGACACAGGAAGCATCAAAAGAAGATGGAAGGAATACACAGAGTCACTGTACCGAAAAGAATTGGTCGATGCTCATCCATTTTAGAAGGTAGTATGCGATCAAGAACCGATGGTAATGAAGGAAGAAGTTCAAACTGCAGTGAAGGCATTGGTGAAAACCCAGGCTTCAGGAATTAATGGAATACCAATTGAGATGTTTCAAAAATGGATGCAAGACTGGACGTACTCACTTATCTCTGCCAAGAAGTTTGAAAGACAGTCACCTGGCCAACTGACTGAAAAAGATCCATATTTGTGGCCATTCAAAGAAAGGCGATGAAGCAGAATGAGGAAATTATTGAACAATATCATTCGTATCACACAAAAGTAAAATTTTTCCGAAGATAATTCAAAAACAGTTGCAGCAGTACATTGATAGGGAACTGTCAGAAATTCAAGCTGGATTCAGAAGAGGATATGGAATGAAGAATATCATTTGTTGATGTCAGTTGGATCTTGGCTGAAAGTAGAGAATACCAGAAAGATGTTTACCTATGTTTTATTGACTATGCAAAGGCATTCGACTGTGTGGATAATAACAAATTATGGATGATGTTGCAAAGAATGGGAGTTCCAGTACACTTAATTGTGCTCATGAGGAACCTGTAGATAGACCAAGACGCAGTTGTTCGAAGAGAACAAAGGGATACTGCGTGGTTTAAAGTCAGGAAAGGTGTGCGTCAGGCTTCTATTCTTTCACTATACTTATTCAGTCTGTATGCTGAGCAAATACTCAAGCTGGACTGTAGGAAGAAGAATATGGCATCAAGATTGGTGAAAGACTCATTAACAACTTGTGATATGCAGATGACACAACCTTGCTTGCCGAAAGCAAAGAGGACTTGAAGCACTTACTGATGAACATCATAGACTACAGTATGGATTATACCTCAACATAAAGAAACAAAAAGCTTCACAACTAGTAACGTAAGTAACATCATGATAAATGGAGAAAAGATTGAAGTTGTCAAGGATTTCATTTTACTTGGATCCACAATCAATGCCCATAGAAGGAGCAGTCAAGAAACCAAATGGCGTTTTGCATTGGGCAAATCTGCTGTAAAAGACCTCTTTAAAGTATTAAAAAGCAAGGATGTCACTTTGAGACCTAAGGTGCATCTAACCCAACCCATGGTATTTCTAGTCACCTCATATGCTTGTGAAAGATGGACAGTGAATAAGGACGACAAAAGTAGAATTGATACCTTTGAATAATGGTGCTGGCAAAGAATATTGACTATACCATGTACCGCAAGAAGAATGAGCAAATCTGTCTTGGAAGAAGTACAGCCAGAATGCTCCTTAGATGAGAGGATGATGAGACTTCGTCTCAAGTACTTTGGACATGTTATCAGGAGGGACCAGTCCCTGGAAAAGGACATCACACTTGATAAAGTACTAGGTCAGCAAAAAAGAGGAAGACCCTCAACGAGGTGGATAGACACAGTGTCTGCAACAATGGGCTCAAGCATAGCAACGATTGTGAGGATGGCTCAGGACCGGTCAGTGTTCCGTTCTGTTACACATAGGGTCACTATGAATCACGACTGACCTGAAGGCACCTAATGACAACATTTCCTTCCTATCTATTCATTATCTTTCCTTGAATGTTTACTTTCATAGTTTGTCGGATTAATAAACATTAAATTTGAGAATCTACCTCGTATAGATATGAAATATATTATTTTTTCTTAAATAAAAGAATTAAAATAATTCTTTTATAAAAGCATTTCTCACCATGTAAACATGATTATAGACCCAGAATTATGGGACAATGCTAAATTATAAAAATATTGAACTCCTACCATCTGTAAAAAACTATTCTAAAAATTATGTCATTTTGTCAACCCAGCCCAAAAAAGGAGAAAGGGACATGTGTACTGAGATATGAAGAGATTAGTAAGCAATAATAGAAATACAAATAAAGTTTTCCGTCATTCATTTTTGGACCTCTCGCTTTTTAGGGGAGTCTTTTCAAATTATGTAACATAATCAAAGGAAAGGCAATTGAATCTTGATATTGTAATCCCTCATACAAATAAGTGAGTGTTCTGATAGCTGTTATACTCCCAAAGTAATCAAAATGAATGAGTATAATTAATTTGTACAGTCCATTTTAGGCTTCCATAAAATGAAAGTAACATGACTTTCTCACATTTATAGAAAAATAACACTTTATATCCTCATTATATTTTGTTAGAACACACAAGCCTCTCTAATTTGGCAAACTGATGCTCAGTTTTACACACCATTCCTATAATGAGTCAGTAGGCTGGATACCAGGCACTCCTAACCACCTCCATTTCTCTTTTCACTATGCACAAATGGGCTTTATTGGTAGGAGAAAAATCAATATGTAGGAAATATTATAAAGAAATAAAAGAACAATTTAATGTGTTATAAATGTTGTGTTGTCCAATTTCTTCCTACATTGGCAATCTGCATGCAATATGAATAGGAATAAAGAGTGTGTGTATAATCTGAAAATCACGGTATTTAAAATTGGATGGTATAGATTTATTTTTAAAGCTCTCCTATCGCTACTTAACAAACAAAAAGAAACCCTGTCAGGATGATAGGTGAAAAGTAAGTACAAGTTACAATAGTAGTAATTCTTTAAACTCATTTTTTACCTTGCATCTGATTACTGTGTTATGTTGACAGATCTGGGAAATTTTAGTGGCCGGACAAGAAGTGCTGTCTCTGTGAGGGAAGGCCAGGGGGTTGTTCTGATGTGCTCTCCTCCGCCCCATTCACCAGGTACAGTAAGAACCTATATTCTACATTACTGCTGCTCTCTTTGACTATATGCTCATTCTTTTAGACAATGTATTGACCAGGGAACATATCAGGTGAAATATGTATGGTTTTCTTGACATGTATCAGAGTACCAGATGAGTAATTAAAGGTCATATAGTCTAAATGTCATTGGATAGGAGACTGAGCTCCTATGATAACATTGTTTTATTGCCATTCTGTTTACTTGTCATGGTTATGTCTCTGCCTGCCACCAGTGAGAAATATATTGCCTGCAGCACAAGGAGAATGATAAGCTAAGAGAGTAGAAACTTTTCAAAATTGTTTGGAGTGTCAGAGTTGAGTTAACGGAATACTAGTGTGCATCTTGTGTCAGAAGATAAGCTGGAAACTTGGTTGTTTATGGTGTTGTTTGCCACACTGAAACAGAAATCGCTAAGAAACAGTATTTTTTTGATTTTCAGAACAAAACTGTAATTTACTTATTGTTTCATTTTTTTTGGTCACTTGAACTGTTGCTCGTAAAAGTCATGGCAATAGGTAAGTATTTCATGGGGTTTGGAAAACAGAATAGTAAACTATGCTCAGATTAATTATATGTCCTTTTGCCAACTCACAGATAAGTATATTTATTTTGTTTGAGTCCTATAATTTGAGATGAGCATCACTTTCTATCTCAGCTTAGTTTTCCTAAAATACTATTTGTAATTTAAGAGAGACCAGCACCAATTGGAAAGAGAGAGATGATAGAGGTAGATATAGAAATGGAGATGGACATAGAAAAAAGAGAGATCATGAAAAATATCTACTTATTTCTATCAAAAAAAATTGTGAAGACCTTAGAATTAACAGCTGGAAACACAATTCAGGGTCCTGGTTTTTCAACAGTTTTTCTCTTTAATTAGTGTGAAAGTCATGTTTATTTCAAGATTATATTATCAATGTAATAACAGAGCCCAATTTGGTTCTATCATGAATAATTCTTATCATAAATAACAAAAGAACGTGAATGAATTTTTGTAAAGTTTCTCTCCTTTTTATATGACAGTCCTTCCAATTTTTCTTTCAATTGAAGGAAAAGTAAACTACATTTCAACAGGCAAATATTTTTGAAAACGTGCTTCTTTGAGGTAATAATCACTATTAGGAAAAATTCTCCAGTTGCATCCACTCTTTTCTTATGTCAATCCAGTCACTCCAATCTTTCTGTGAGCAGTTTGAAGAATTTACGTAAGCATATCTAGCCTTACCTATATTTGATTCCAATTTAGATTATTTCAAGCAAAATGTTTTACTTTTTTTCTTTTCTATTTTCTTTTTAATTTTATTGTGCTTTAGGTGAAAGTTTACAGAACAGATTAGTTTCTCATTCAAAAATTTATACACAAATTGTTTTGTGACGTTGGTTGCAATCTCAACATTGTATGAGCATTCTCCCCCTTTCCCTTTCCACCCCAGGTTCCCAGTGTCCATTTGTCCAGTTTTCCTGTCCCTCCTGCCTTCTCGTCTTTGGTTTGAGCAGGTGTTGCCCATTTAGTCTCATATACTTGATTGAACTAAAAAGCACATTTCTCACGTGTGTTATTATTTGTTTTATAGGCCTGTCTAATCTTTGGCTGAAAGGTAACTTTGGAAGTGGCTGCAGTCTGAGTTAGTAGGGTATCTGGGGGCCATAGTCTCAGGGGTTTATCCAGTCTTGGTCGGACCAGTAAGTCTGGTCTTTTTTCGAGAATTTTTATTTTGTTCTACTTTTTTTTTTTTTCTCCCACTTTGTCCTGAATCCTTTATTGTGATCCCTGTAAGAGCAGTCAGTGGTGGTAGCTAGGAACCCTATAGTTATTCTGGGCTCAGGCTGTTGGAGTCTGTGGTTCATGTGGTCCATTAGTCCTTTGGACTAATCTTTCCCTGTGTCTTTGGTTTTCTCTATTCTCCTTTGCTCCAGATGGGATGGGACCTATACATGTATCTTAGATGGCTGCTCATAAGTTTTTAAGACCCCATATGCTACTCACCAAAGTAGGATGTAGAACATTTTCTTCATGAACTATGTTATGCCAACTGACCTAGATATCTCCCAAGACCGTGGTCCCCAACCCTCAGCCCCGGTAACTCAATCCCTCAAGGTGTTTGGATGTGTCTAGGAATCTTCTATGACTTTGCTTTGGTCAAGTTGTGCTGACTTCCCCTGTACTGTGTGTTGTCTTTTCCTTCACCAAAGTTAACACTTGTCTACTATCTAGTTAGTGATTTCCCCTCCCCACACCTCCACTCCCGCATAACCATCAAAGATTGTTTTTTCTGTGTGTAAACATTTTCTTGGGTTTTTACAAAAGTAGTCTCATACAATATTTGTCCTTTCGTGACTGACTTATTTCACTCAGTATAATGCCCTCCAGATTCATCCACGTTGTGAGAGTTTCATGGATTGATCATTGTTCTTTATCACTGCATAGTATTCCACTGTGTGTGTGTACCATCGTTCGCTTATCCGTTCATCAGTTTATGGGCACTTAGATTGTTTCCATCTTTTTGCTATTGTGAATGATGCTGCAGTGAAAATGAGTATGCTTATGTCTACTTGTGTAGTGGTTCTTATTTCTCTAGGATATATTCTTGTGGTGGGATTGGTGGATCATATGGTATTTCTACTTCTAATTTTTTAAGGAGCCACCATATCATTTTCCATAGTGGTTGTACCATTTTACATTCCCACCAGCACTACCTAAGAATTCCAATCTCCCCACAACCTCTCCAACATTTGTTATTTTCTGTTGTTTGTTTTTGTTTTTTTAAATTGTCCCAGTACCGTTCAGGGTACGATAGTATCTCATTGCAGTTTTGATTTGCATTTCTCTAATGGCTAATAATCGAGAGCATTCCCTCATGTGTCTGTTAGCCACCTGAATGCCTTCTTTGGTGAAGTGTCTATTCATAGCCTTTGACCATGTTTTAATTGGATTGTTTGTCTTGCTGAGGTGTTGAAGTATTCCATAGATTTTAGAGATTAGACCCTTGTTGGATATGTGGTGACCAAAACTTTTTTCCCAGTCTGTAAATTCTCTTTTTACTCTTTTGGTGAAGTGTTTTGATGAGCTTAAGTGTTTACTTTTTAGGAGCTCCCAGTTATCTAGTTTATCTTCTGGTGTTTGTGCATTGTTGTTTTATTTTTTTAATAGATAAGATAAATATAATATTTATATAGGTAATGTCTAATGTTGGATTATTATACATACGTAGTTTGCAAAGCAGGAATAGATGAATAGTTGTTAGAGATAAAAAGAAGGAGGAGGAGGAGGGGAAGAAGGTAACAACAGATTCAACAGAGGATGAAAGATAATCGCCAGATTGACAAGAGTTAACAACATGGAGTGACACCTGTAAAAAAAGCAAAAATTTTCTGATATGTAATCTATATTGCAAACCTGTTGGAAGATGTATAAAATAAATAAATGAATTAATTAATGAATAAAGACGTACATACATACATACATAAAATGGGAGAGGATGATAATAGAAGGCAAACCTTTAAGGTTACACACAGATAAATCAATCAACTGGCAAAAAAAATAGAGATTTCTAAAGGGGAAAAAATAGTATAATGAATTGCATATAGAATAAAATAAACATGAGATAAGAATATATATTAATAGTTGATTAAGTAATTAATAATGTGATTCCTGATTGAGATCAGTGTAAGTAAAGAAAGATGACTGCTTTTGTATGTTTATGTCATAAGAAATGTTAGGCTGCTTATATAATCTAAGATCATAGAAGGGGTTGTACAATACTAGGCATTCATTTTGAAGTATACGTGAAGTGATCCACTCAAATGGTCAGTGTTAGCACCACAAAGTTTTTAGGGGATACTTGCACGATCCAAAATAACAGGAGTAGCTCAGCATCCAGGCCAAGGCCTATGACTTACCACATGGACAGTTATCCCCTGGGCAGCCAAATCTCATATAACTTTAATTTCCCTGTTGAACATTCCTTTTTATTCTTGCTACAACTGAAAGTTGTATATTCCCTGAAGACATGCCTTCTCCTGCAGCCATTTAAAGTTCTGGTTGTCTATTCTTCCAAATCCCATATGCCATTGAGACTGAAATTAGAATAGATATCCTCGTTCTCCACGTTCCCCATTCTCTTGTCTTTCTTTTTACAAAACCCTCAGTTTTGATTCGCAAGTTATCAGACTTTACTACCCTCTACCCCTCCTTGTTGCAGTCGTTAACACAATGGCAGCTCATTTCTCTTCATTTCCTGAAGATTTTAACCTTGTGGGTCACTGTCACTTTGTTCGATATTACTCCAGTCTTAGATGATTTCAAGGGCACATGGGTAATCTTTTCAACACCCTGTCCTCTTCCTTCCTTTAATTTCTCCTTTCCAATAATCTTTGTTTTACAGCCAACCTTAGCCACTTGATCTGCTATTACCAACAGCTGAAATCTCTTAATTATCCCACTTAAAAACATCCTATTCTCTGACCAGAATCCTATTCTTCTAGAAGCTCACTCTCTGTAGAGTTCTGATTCCAGCAGTACTTTAACCTCATCGAAATCATTGATCCTACCTAATCTTCACTTTGGAGCCCTGCTGGTGCAGTGGTTAAGATCTACGGCGAGCTTTAGCAGTTCAAATCCACTATCGACTCCTTGGAAACCCTACGGGGCAGTTCTACTCTATCCTATAGGGTCGCCATGAGTCGGAATCAACTCAACGGCAATGGATTTGGATTTTTTAATCTTCACTTTACTTCAGCTCCTTTGATTCTCACTTTTCTCCTTAATCATAATAATTTTCTTGCGTACAACCTCAATTTCCTTATCCCTCTTTGCTTTTTCACAATGACCGGACAAAGTTTGCAAAAACCCTAATCCTGGTTAAATCCAGCTTTCAGTCTACTCCATGTCTGAACCTTTTCAGCTTATATGGCTGTAAAAAAAAAGCAGTTATGAAGACTAATTTCGTTTTGAAATCCAAACTATGAACTTCAGGTG